CTTTTCCCTTCTCCACAGGATCTTCTGGACACAGGGACTGAACCCAGGTCTCCTGCATTGCAGGCAGATTCTTTACCAGCTGAGCCACATAAACTAGTTTTTCTTGACCAGTAAGAACTATGTAATTTTTCCTTTATAATAGGAAAAGGGAATAAAGTCTTCTAGAAATACAACCAATCATATATTTTGATTATGCTGAATAATAATTGCTGTACATTAAATAAAACTGAATTTTTCTGTGTATTAGATGTCTTACCTGTTCTAAAAGTTATTCCTTTTCGTATCTATTAGTGTTCTTCCTTTTTGATTCTTGTCAATATAGAATTGGGCTTCCCTGGTGGCTTAGATGGTAAAGTGTCTGCCTGCAATGCAGGAGACCCAGGTTCGATCCCTGGATTGGGAAGATCCCCTGGAGAAGGAAATGGCAACCCACTCCAGTACTCTTGCCTGGAAAATTCCACGGATGGAGGAGCCTGGTAGGCTACAGTCCATGGGGCCGCAAAGAGTCGGATGTGACTGAGCGACTTCTCTTTCACTTTCAATATAGAATGAGTTTGTTACATTTTTTTATATTCAATGTTTTATTGGAATATTTTATCCTTGTATCATGCCAAATAATTTTGTTGAGGGATTAATATAGTTACTGGGAAAATTTTGCATGTTATAAAAATTTAAATACTGATATTATAGTAAATATATAAATGTGTGAATTCTGTCCAATGGACATCAATGCCTAATTGTTTAGAAAATCATGGTAAGAAAAATTGGGGCAGTTATAGTTAAACTGAGGCGAAATTAGTCTATTTACTTGATAAATGTTTATTTTTTAGCCTTCCATGAGTCACACATACTTGTGAGCAAGTCACAGATGAATAAAATTTTACACAAATTGTAATTAAAACACTGATGTCCTGTGAAGAACTATGATGTGTTACAAAAACAAAGAGAAGTAGGACATAGCTGGTCAGGGACATTAAAGAAGGTTTCCCTTAAAAAGTGACCTTGTAGTTGAATTTGAATCATGACATATATGTTCAGGGGACAAGAGTGTCACCATTAGGAGTGGTATTACAGTCCCTAGATCTATGAAAGGAGCTTATTCCCACACGCGCCTTTAACGGGTACCTCAAAGTATAAGCTTACCATCTTTGGTGACTTGATTCAGTCCTGTGCCCACAAGACCTAGAAACAAAACAAAATTATTTATTAGAAAACATAGAAAATATATGAAGTAATCATGAGAAGGCTTAGAAAAAGTGATAGGATCACAATTGAATCATTTTTATCTTCTGTTAAACTATTTGGAGAGTTATAAAATATTTACCTCTGAGTTTTTTAAAAACATACAAATTAGGTGGAGCAAACATACAAATTAGGCAGAGCAAAAGTCAAGCTCTTTAGAGTAAATAAAATAATTTGAAATATGAACATTCTAAGCATTGTAGTAACTTAGATTCCTAATGAAAACAAGGAGTATATTTCTAAAGCCTGCATTGTTATATTCATTTATGGTTTTCATGCATGTTGGAGAAGAAATGCCTATACTCTTCGCAGCCTAATTCTTTAAATGCATTAATAAAAAGCCCTTAGTAAGGAGACAGGCCAGTACTTTGCTTGCAAACTTAGTGGTACTACCCAGGTTGTCTAAACACCTGCAAGACAGTTAAGCCTCATGGAACCTTAATTTTCTGATAAGGAAGACTCCATAGTCAATCTACCTCATTGTTGTATCACATGAAATTCATGTAATCCTATGTATATATTTAAGTTATCCACATATAAAAACCTGTTATCATCATCTCTGAAAATGTACTGAAGAATTTATCCGGTAGTTTTTTCACATAGGCTAATGTATGGATGTGAGAGTTGGACTATAAAGAAAGCTGAGCACCGAAGTATTGATGCTTTTGAACTGTGGTGTTGGAGAAGACTCTTGAGAGTCCCTTGGACTGCAAGGAGATCCAACCAGTCCATCCTAAAGGAGATCAGTCCTGGGTGTTCATTGGAAGGACTGATGCTGAAGCTGAAACTCCAGTACTTTGGCCACCTCATGCGAAGAGTTGACTCATTGGAAAAGACCCTGATGCTGGGAGGGATTGGGGGCAGGAGGAGAAGGGGATGACAGAGGATGAGATGGCTGGATGGCATCACTGACTCGATGGGCATGAGTTTGGGTAAGCTCTGGGGGTTGGTGATGGACAGGGAGGCCTGGTGTGCTACGGTTCATGGGGTTGCAAAAAGTCAGACATGACTGAGCGACTGAACTGAACTGAACTGTGTACCATTTCAGTTGTCGTCAAACTTCTCTGAAGTGGAATCTTTGCTGGTGAGAAGTTTCAACTTTATTATCTAAAACTGCAAACGATGCCATTTATTCTCCTGTGCAAACAACTTGCAAACTGAAAACAAACATAACAAAGAAAGAAAGTATGGTAGGCTAAACAAACTCAAGGAAGGATTCTGTCTCCTGGAACTTACAGAAGGAACAAGCCCTGCCCTAACACTGACATTAGACCAGAGAGACTGTTTTAGGACTTCTGTCCTCTAAACTCTTACGAGGGAAAACAACCTGTTCTGTTTTAATCCCTCAAGTTGGTAGTATTTTGCACAGCAGTTCCAGGAAGCTCACACAGGAAAGAAGGGAAGGAAGGACAGGGAAGGAGGGAGGAGAGAAAGAAAGAGAAGAGGAGCGAGTCACAGTGCCTGCTCCTCTGAGAATGATACAGGCAAACCGTCGAAGAACAGGCTCATGAGCTTTTCTGGCTGATGACCAAGGGGTTACCTTGTAAACATCCCTTATAGTTAAAATTGTTATGTAGCTATTTTAAGTTGTTTATACCCCTATAGGCTGTTTTATGTTTAAAAACGAAGTTCAAGCTATTGCCCGATGGAGTGGTATCTACAGACACAGACTTCAAAACCTAATATAAGGCTAAAAAGAATATTTTCAGAGAGCAAAATACTAAAAACAAATGCTAGTTTGGGGCTGTGCTCTCCTCTTTTCTTTTTTTTTCTATTTGTACTCACTCAAAGTGCATTTTGATCTTAACAAGTATGAACTATTCACTAAAAGGCAGAACTCTCTTTGGAGTAGAAAAAATTCTCTTCTTTTTTTATTAATTTTAAAATGTTTGAAAGTATCTTATTCTTTCCTTCAAGACATCCTTCTACCCAAACTTCCACCCTCAAAATTTCTATAATTTTGATATCATTAATGTAAGGACTGTTTTTAACACATATTCTTTTAAAGCAATAGATTAACTGATATCATTGTAGAAAAGGTAAAGATAGTATAGCTTTGCACTAATTGGAAATGGTCCTTAGCTCTTAGGTAAAGATAAAATGTCTGCATCCTAGTGCACTGTTCCCATAATTGGAATAGCTTAATTAAAAGCTTGCTGAGCACCTTATCTCTGATAACCTGTGCAGCATTACTTAATTATCTTTTCTTTTTTAGAATGGGAAAGAAAACTGTGGTTTAAAATCAGTCTAGAATGATCTTATCTTAATTTTTTTTTTCTAATTTAATCCTTCACATAGGTATTAATGCCAACATTTTGCAACTTTGATTTTACTAGGGGGCCTTCTTTCTATGCACAGATCATTATCATCATCACACAGATATTGCTTATTGCATTTAATTATATGCAAAACATTATCCCCCAGTCTTTACACCCAATTTACCAATAGGTATTGTTTATTTTATAATTTTTTTTTACAACTGAGAATATGGAGCGGATTGGAGAGCATTTATTAGCATGCCCAGTGTTATGGAGCTAATAAACATGGGACAGTCTATCTGCTAAGAGCAGCGTTTCTTCCGCGCCACTCTGAGTTCTGTAGTTCCTGGCGTGACCTGGTCCCCCCAGAGGCAAGGGCAGAGGGATGCCAGAGAGACAGCACGGAGAAGGACAGGAGCGACACAGGGGAGGAGGCGGCCAGTGAGCGCAAGCGGGCTTCCAGGGACGCAAGGAGGCAGCTTGACTGTAAAAGGATTTACTAAGCGGCCAAGACTATTTCTTTTAACGTTGTTTTTAAACCTGAAAGTACCCAAATACTACAACAATTTTTTTAAAAAATTCCCTTTTAAGGCCTTTTCAAGGGTTTCTTAATATGTTCACTTGCATCTTGGAAACAATGATTATTTGGAATGAAAAACACATGGACTAAGTTTTGTAAAATATCCAAGAGGAGAGATGTGTAAGTGGTTTGTGTTGAGTTACCTCATGTTCTGATAGTAAGTCTGTTGTTTGAGAAATATAATTTATTTTTTTCTTAAATGGATTGTGTATGTATGTCATTGAATATACACTTTTAACAAATATTCTGTATCATAGCATATTTTAAATGTTAAGTTGCTTTGATCAGGTCATTTAGTTTTTATATTTTCACTATAATAATGATCCAAGGATAAAAGCAATAGTATCAAAAAACATCCCCATCCATACACACATAGCAGTGTCTTACCTCAATTATAAAAGCTATGTTAAGAACATTTCTGATACAACAGAAATAATACAATTCCCCTATATTTACAATATAAGCATAATGACCGTGATATTACAGCACATTATACTATGCAAACATGTTGAGATGAATAAATCATTTCACTGTCTTCAAAACATTACACTGCAAACAGAAAGAAATATTTCTTGTAATCATTCAGTGCTGAATGTGATAAAAGTACAAGAAAATATGTATATAAATAAAATCTGTAGTGGCCCTGAAAGCCAGACCTATCAACCAAAAACTTCAACGAAAAGCAGGATTAAATATATCAAAATATATGAACTCAGATGCAATGGTTCCTGATTTCCAGAACTGTTAATTTTATGATTATGAAAAGGAGAAGGACCTTATGATCCTTGCCCCCACACCATGTCCTCTGCCTGGTTTTTGTCTGGGGGGGGGGAAAAAAGGGTGAGCTCAATCAAGGAAGTGAGAAAATGCAGAAACAAAAGCAGTTGAACAGGACAAGACAGTAATGGTTTAGTTAGCAGATGAAGTCAAGGATCTTTGGTTCCTTGTCGAGACCCAGAGGCAATGTGAGCCGTGTCTTGCGAGCCGGCTTACAGACACTGAAATCCTCCCTTGGTGGAAGCCGGCTGGATGGTGGCCAGGCGGTAGCCGGGCCGTGTGCGGATGCTAGGCCGCGCCAGTCGGATCGGAGTCTGCCGCCTGTGGCCGCAGCCGCCGGGCCCCTCTGTCCGTGGGCCTCTCCAGCCAAGAACGCGCAGCGGTCGCCGGGCCCTCCTCCCGCGGCTCGCGGCTCGCGCATCGCAGGCGGCTTCCTTGGCAGAGCGCCCGAGGCCCAGCCGTCACGTAAGCCGCCACGCTTCCCAGAACTGCCCTCGGAGAGACGGGAACACGCCAGCCCTGGAACTGAAGATGAGCTGTGCTTCAAACAAAAAAGGCGCCACTGGCCAGGCCACCAGACGACCGGTTTCGGGACGGAGTCAGAGCTCGCTGCTGTCTCTGCGTGTAGCTCCCTCTCTGTGCCTGTGAAGCTCTAGCCTACCGGCTGGCAGTGCTCAGGGCAGCCGGCCTTTGTGCAGCAGCCGCCCTCCCACTGCCCGCTGCCTGCGACTGCTGGCCTCCGAAATACAGCCCGCTTCCCTTCTACCCACCCTGCCTCTGTAACGCCTTTCGAGTGGCGAGCAGCCGGACCTCACCTTCGGTGAATAATTAGACCCTAGAGCCTCCTCAGTATGGAAGAAAATACGAAAGAAGTAACATTTCCGTGGCTTACAAGTATTACTAGTAATAATGCAACGTCTCTCATGAACTATAAAGTCCATTTGTCTCAAGTTGATCCATAATTAGAAAAGTGTTCATTGCTAACGGTTTAAGACAGTGTGCTCTCAAAATATCTGAACCATCTCGTATTTTTATTAGGAAAATTTGAGCTAGGGAAATAGAACATAAATCATGTAATTCAATTTTTACTTTTTTTAAGTAAAAAGTAATATGAAGATCATTCAGAATAAAAATTTACTTGATTTTTAAATTATTTTATTTTTAACCATAATTACTGCTGCATTTTTATAATTTTTCAAATTAAATGTATAGTAAGTTGGGATTGTAAAGTTATAAATTGCATAGAAGCACATGATAAAATATTTTACATTGACTTTGAATAAAGTTGATACACAAAATGAGACCTTGCCAGCAGAAATGTATTTCTAAACTGCATGTGTACATGCTTAGAATAATGTTGAATTCATTTTAATTATTGCAGACTGCTTACTCTCAAGATGTCAGATTTAAAGATTTCCACTTTGGTGGTTTACTGTGACATCAATGCTATATTATGTTTTGTGCAAAAGTCTGGTTCCTTAGCAACATGAAGTCAATGTTTATTTCAGGGAAATCAATAGAATTAAAAAAAATAGCTTAGTGTTAAATGCTATAGCTTAATTTTGATAATTATACCCATAAAGAATATAGTGCTAAATTAAAAATATTTTAAACCTCTGTAAATAGACTGTGAACTAATATACTGTATCAATAAAAAAAATTCGAAATTTTATTTTAGATGTACAAAATAAAATGTGTCCCCATACATAAAGAACTTGAAACAACAAGCATACTATTAGCTTTTAGGGTTTTTGTTTTTTTTGGAATAAAAAATTTGCAATATTGTGTTGGCTTCTGCCATGCAACAATGCAAAACAGCCATAACAGGTTATTATTAATGAAATTGACACTATGCATCCTTGAACAAGAAAGTCATTTTGCCATTTTAAACTATATTTCTACCTTTGTAAAATAAATAACATTGACTAGATTGGACCTAATGTTCCCATAGCTCTCACAAATCTATGATTTAATAATTTACATCTCTCACGTTGATTGGTTAAGATTTGGCCAGACCTGATTTCTATAGATGATGTGAAGAGTATCCCACTAGACTGAAAAACAGATCAGGTCATGTTAGTTATATGCTGCCAACATGGAAAGGCAGAATTAGTATCTACACTGACTATACCTAGATATTTTCCAAAAATATATTGATAATGACAAGATTTGGGGATTGATAAAAGAAGACATGAGCAAATATATATACTACATCTTGGAAAATGTCGATATGCACAATCTAAGCCAAACATCAAATTAGATAAACTTTTGAGATCCTAAAGAGAATCCCAAGTCTTTGGTATTGTCAGTGATAAGAATGAAATGGCAACCCACTCCAGTACTCTTGCTAGGAAAATTCCATGGATGAAGGAGCCTGGTGGGCTATAGTCCTTGGGGTTGCAAGAGTCAGACACAACTGAACAACTTCACTTTCTTTTCTTTCCTCTCTTTTCTAGACAGCAGCCATTCTTTGAAGACTTTCGCCTCTGCAGTAGGAATAAACAGTCATCCCCACGCCACCCCATCCAACCCATAAATAAGGGGATGACAAAAGAAAAATTAAGCTGGTTGCAGTGCAAAGTAAGCATCATTTTGCACATATCCAAACTGTGGCTCAGACGGTAAAGAATCCACCTACAAGGCAGGACACACGGGTTCAGTCCCTGTGTCAGGATGATCCCCTGAAGAAGTGAAGTGAAAGTCTCTCAGTCGTGTCCGACTGTCTGTGACCCCATGGAGAAGTGAATGACAACCCACCCCAGTGTTCCTCCCTGGAGAAGTCCATGGACAGAGAAGCCTGGTGGGCTACAGCCCATGGGGTCCCAAAAAGTTGAACACAAATGAGCAACTTAACACTTTCACTTTCAAACTAGGTATAGAAAAACCTAACCATCAAGAATAGAAGTTGAAAATACAGTTTGGGGAGGAAAGTCTGGTAAAAATAATGTAAATCTGTGCTGCTTCTTTATAAGGGCATGTTCTACCTCAAAAAAAAAAAAAAACAATAGAAAAGTGTCTGAGACTCATAAGCCTATGATAAGCAACACATCCAATAACGTACAATTGACATAATGCCTAGCACTCACTCGATTCATGTAAGCTATTTGTTAGTGTTTTTGTTATAATCAAATTAATTCAGTAATAATCATCATGACTATAAAGCACTAACCTAAACGAGTATGCTTTAACTTTGTAAACTGGCAGACAGTGGATTTCAAAGGCAACAGAGAATCCTCAGTCTAAAATATTTACTCCATTACATATCTACGGAATGATTGGTATCATAGATTTGATAGTGAAGCCATTGGTCCTTTGGACACTTATTCATTTACTTTGTTTCTGGATTGTCTGTAACAAAATATTTACCAAACTGTCAAAGACAATAAAGTTGAATGTCCTGGTACAAGAGTACAGAGAGGTTATGTAGAGGAGACAATCATTCATTTCCTACATCTCCAGAATTGTTGTTTTTAGTTGCTAAGTCTTGTCCAACTCTTTTGTGCCCCCATGGACTATAGTCCACCCAGCTCCTTCTGCCCATGGTATTTCCCAGGCAAGAATACTAGGAGTTACCATTTCCTTCTCCAGGGGATCTTCCCAACCCAGGGATCAAACCTGTGTCTCCTGAATTAGCAGGCGGATTATTTACCACTGAGCCTGCACAGAAGCCCAAATTTAGGATACAGTGACAACAAAGAAAATAAAACCACCATCCAGAAAAAATGACATGAATTTAGGAACAGCTACATGGACAAAGACATGTTTTCCCTTCATTTATGAAATATCTTTCTTTTAGATAAAATGAATCACTTAATAAGAAGGAAATATATTTTCTACTTCAGAGAAAATACCTTCAGGTTTTGTAGTTAGGCACTCTCCTATCTGAAACCTCCCATGTGTGGCCTGAAGCAGTTATACCCAACAAATGAGTCTACAGGTACACTTTAGGAATAGCACAATACCATAGTAGCAACTTTCAAAGGTCTTTGTATCTGTTAAGGGAAGAGAATCAAGAAGTATGAAGACCTCTAAAATTATTCACCAACAAGAATTTTATAACTGAACATTAGTAAGGTGTCACCTGCCTGAAGTGAAGGGTCTAAGATAGAAAGGGTCTTAAAATTACTCCAAGATATAAAATATGCAAGTTAATGTTGATAGTCACTACAAAATATGAAGAAAAATGTATTGACACTTGAACTACTAGAAAGTAATATTGCACAATCTGCTAGAAATATAGATGTGATTTAATATAGTTTGGCCAGTCAAACCATTTAGATTAAATCATATATTAATGAGAGTTGATGCATGATTTTTTTGTTTGTTTGTTAGAATTTAATTAACTAATGTAGAGTGACTATGAAAGTTAAAAAAATATATTATTTGATTAAATGAAATGTAATAACTGAGGTTACGTCCTGTTTGAAGTAGCCTAGGATTTGGACTATATTGAGTATTAGTTTGGGAATAGATGGAATAAGGATGGCTGGAAGAATTTGCCTATAATTTGAGCATGCAAAAATTCCAATCTGTGGTTGAAGCTGAGGGCTATTAAATCCAGCAGACAGAGAAGAAGGAGCAGAGCCTTACTAAAATCTCATGCTGAAGGTTAGGCATGGTACATGCCAATCATGTTGCTGCCTGCTGAGGCTTCCCTGAAACCATATAAAACTGCCACTCCCTCTATATCTCATTATTTCCAATTCAGAAAAAAAATTATGGCCCCTTTGGTAGCCATAGTGAAACATCTCTGCCCAAACTTAAAAATTGACTCATCAATATGAAATTACCAAATTTAAATCCTAATCTTCTACAATCAGTTCATTCAAAACAAAACTTTAGCCAGCAGCAGGAAGTGAAGTATATCAGCTCTGGAACTACTTACCCTGGGTGGCAAAACAACAAACTTTTACAAATCAGTGACTCTAGCGACTGGACCAAATGCAAAAGAAGATTAAATTAGCTTTTGATATAATTCTTGTTCTCGGGACTTTGGTTATGGGTAAAAAGCACTAGAAACTATGTAGTATTTTCTATCCTAACACCAGAAAGTCAGAAGTGTTAGCTACAAATGGGCATAAATTGCTAGTTTAGATGCAGGAAAACTGATTCAGTTCAGCCTCTGATGGCTTGAGAGGATCATTAGTGTGGATTTTCAAATAAAGAATAATGTAGTTATCATTTGCGAAAATAAAAGGCATTGTTACAAAAAAGTGTATTAGATAATTCCAAGTCTCAAAAAAGTTTCTGTTAGTCTGAACCATAAGTGATGGAATCCTCTAAAAGTAATGCTGAAGAGGTTTTAAGGCAGATGATACCACGCTAATGGCAGAAAGCAAAGAGGAACTAAAGAGCCTCTTGATGAGGGTGAAAAAGGAGAATAAAAAATCTGGCTTAAGACTAACCATTCAAAAAAGTAAGATCATGGCAACAGGCCCTATCACTTCATGGCAAATGGAAGGTGAATAAGTAGAACCACTGACAGATTTTCTTTTCTTGGGGCTCCAAAATCACTGTGGACAGTGACTGCAGGCATGAAATTAAAAGATACTTGCTCCTTAGAAGAAACCTGTGACAAACCTCAGTTCAGTTCAGTTCAGTCACTCAGTCGTGTCCAACTCTTTGTGACCCCATGAATTGCAGCACACCAGGCCTC